GATAATCATTATTTTCTGATTTTTTGTCCAACTTTTGTAACTTTTGATTAATTTCCTTCATTTCTTCTTTGTAATTCTTATTCTCTTCTTTCAATGCATTTACTTCTGATTTAATTGATTGAATCTCAATATTTAGCTGACTAAATTTATCCAGAATTAGGTCATAAATGGATTTTAGAGTATATTGAGATTTATCTATAACTTGTGATTCTGACTTGTGAAAATATCTGCTAGTTGATTCTCTTTCTCTTTGTCCCTGGAACTTTCCATGTGAGGTCTGCCCCGCCCCCTTTTTTGCATTTCCAAATGACTTATTCATTGTGGGGAACGGGACACTGGTCCTGGTTTAGGTTCAACTCCAGCAATAATTAGTAATACTACAATTAAATCCAAGGGCAACCTGTTGTCAAATTTCCAAATCTTTACATAATTCATTTTTCCTTCTATAATGTCATTTTTGTACTCCCAATTTAAATAATTATATCAATAACCAATTGGTGGAGAGATACAAGGCTTATCAAACTGTAATGGAGCCAGGAAATTGAGATCACATCAAAAAAGGGGGCTAATTTTATTTGTGGGATGCATTTCAGTCTTCACTATACCACTTTAGCCACAAATACATACAGATACCTAAACAATTGCAAAAAACTTATATTTAACATTTAGCTTTAAGTTAATATATAAAAAAGAAAAATTACAAAGTGAAAAAACAAACCTGCAGTATTTAACTTATATCCAAGTAGCCTTTATTGAGTCTGACAAAAAATATTGAATAGTAATAAAACATGATTTTGACTACTAAAAATTTGGATTTAGACGAAATGGTGACAAAGATGAGCCATATCCACAATGTGTTATTTGCTGTGAATTCCTGTAAAAGAGAGTATGCAACCAAACAAATTACTTCAAAGCATGTAGATCTGAAAAACAAGATATTTCATGTTTTGAAAGCAAAGTAAAGAACTGAATATGTCAAAAATATGCTTTGACTTAGCCCAAAACTTCACCAATGCAGCAGTCAAGAAGTCTTTGTCCATATATTGGAGCCATGATTGGACAGCTGCTGCACATCTTTTATCACTGGAGAAGTGCTTTCCTCCCAGGAAGATTTTCAGGGGCATAAAGAGATGAAAATCACTAGAGGTAAGATCTGGACTATATATATGTGGCAGTGTCTCTTACCCCAGTTCCAATAACTTGATGGTCATTGCAGACATGGTATGGGGTCTTGCATTATCTTGCAGAAATGGAATACCTATGGTTATTAGTCCCAGTTGTTTTTTTTGCAGTGTCTTATACACATCTTCAAGAACTTGACAGTAGTAACTTGCACCATAAGCAATACTAAGTTCAAGTTACTGTCAATACTAGCAAGAAATCCACATAAATTACATTATTGCAGTCCAAGAATACCATGGTCATCACTTTGCCTGCAGGTGGAACATGTTGGAACTTTTTTGGTGGGGGTAAGTCAGTGTGTTTCTATGGCTTGGATGCTTGTTTCAATTCAGGGGTATAGTGATGAACCCGAGTTTCATCACAGGTTATGATACAGTCCAAGAAACTCTGATCTCCATTATAGAATGATGCTTCAACTGAATGCAAATTTGCACTCTGCTGTTTCAGTCAAAAGATGACAGTTGCATGGATCATCTTGCAGTAATTTTTCTGAAGTGGAGATGATTGTGAATAATATTGATGAGTGTACCTAAAGAAAGACCAGTTTGCTCTGCAAGTTCAGGCAGATTATCTGCTGGTTATTGAAGATTACATGTTTGATACACTGGATGTTTACAGGGATGCAGTTGCCATGGAACTGCCCCAGTTGGGATCATTGTTCACAGATGTGTGTCTTTCCTGAAAACTCAAAGATCTTACTGCAGCTCTGTGTTTCATCACTGTACTGAACTTGTAGCTTTCAGTGAATTTCAGCCAGTTTAATGTCTTTAGCAAGAAACTTCATCACAATTATGCTGTTCCATATGAACATTGATGCTGCTGTCTGTCTCTCCAATATGTCTGATCCTCAATGAGCCAACACGCATGTACCACCTGTGGGCAATAGTGAACACCACTCTTGCTATCACTACACTCTCAGCAATATTCCATTCTTCTTTGTGTTGCCAGACTAAAATGTCCTGATTTGACATGAACAACCTATATATTAGGATAAAACATGTTTTGAGACTCATCATATCATCATCAGATGAAACATTTTTTCAAAAATAATGAACTGATTGAAATGAAAAATGCAGATTCAAAATTTGTTTTTAACAGTTAAGAACAAAATTTTTTATTTCTTGATATCTTTTATACCTTTCATAAATTGAAATTTAAATTTAAATACTTTCGATTTAATTTTAGAATTGATCATTATTACACAATATAATGTGAAGAATATTTGAGTAGTAAAAGTGAAAGTATAGGGTGGTTATAATTAAAGTTGCGCTACTCAGACCTGTCTAGGGCCCGTTCACGTGGACGTATTTTGATGAAACTTGATATATATGTTATATATATATATAACATGGGGAAAAGGAAAATGCAAAAAAAATATTTAGTTCGAATTTTTACCACTAGGTGAAAAAATGGCGCATGAAGAACAAGAAATACTGTATTTCTTGTTCTTCATGCGCCATTTTTCACCTAGTGGTAAAAATTCGAACTAAATATTTTTTTTGCATTTTCCTTTTCCCCATGGTCCATATAACATATATATCAAGTTTCATCAAAATACATCCACGTGAACGGGCCCTAGACAGGTCTGAGTAGCGCAACTTTAATTATAACCACCTTGTACTTGTTATTTATGTATTATTTGCATACTTTTAATTGTACCATCAATAAAATTCTGAATATTTTGTGCTGAACTTTTTTCAACAAGCAAGAATGTCTTTTTACAACTAGTTAATTCTACCAAATTATAAATTAGAAGTTCAGACTATTTACAAAAAATTAATTTAATTTTTGAGTCTATCAATTAGGGTACGTTCGTAAAGTCAAACGAGTTAAACGTGTTAGTAATGAATCATTCGAATAGTAGTAGTCTCGCTCAGTGCGCATGCTCTGCGGTGATGACGTTTTGAATGAAACTCTAATGAAGTTCACGAAGGAAAGAGTTAGTTTACTTCGTTAAGAAAATGGCGCCCAACGATATCGATGTTTCTAAATCTACTCGAGTGTTTAAATTGTGAATTAAAAGATGAAATGATTGGAGTAACTGTCCACCCGAAGCAATCTAAGAAAAATATTTTGGATAAGGTGTACTAGCAACATTTGTATCTTCGATTTTAGAAACAGCCATTTAGTTCTAAACGAATCGTTCAAAAAGTCTAACGAAATAAGAATAACGATGACGTCATTCTCATTTAATTCGTTTGACTTTACGAACGTACCCTTAATCCTTTTCACGCACCATAGAAGTACACCTTTTACATTGGTTTGAAGAAATCACTTCATAAAACAATTAACAATAGGTAAATATTACATTATTAAAAATGATCAGACGTCAACCTTTCATTTTAGGTTCTGACGCCTATAACATTAAAAATCAAAGTAAATCTTCTCACCCAACTGTCAAGTTTTTACACTTTGTACCAGGTTCAAGCCCTCTAGTGGTGGATACGAGTTATCTTTAATTTGCATGTAGTTTCAAATGCATGATGAACTCAGGATATTTTTCTTCCAAATTATAAATTAGAAGTTCAGACTATTTACAAAAAATTAATTTAATTTTTGAGTCTATCAATTAGGGTACGTTCGTAAAGTCAAACGAGTTAAACGTGTTAGTAATGAATCATTCGAATAGTAGTAGTCTCGCTCAGTGCGCATGCTCTGCGGTGATGACGTTTTGAATGAAACTCTAATGAAGTTCACGAAGGAAAGAGTTAGTTTACTTCGTTAAGAAAATGGCGCCCAACGATATCGATGTTTCTAAATCTACTCGAGTGTTTAAATTGTGAATTAAAAGATGAAATGATTGGAGTAACTGTCCACCCGAAGCAATCTAAGAAAAATATTTTGGATAAGGTGTACTAGCAACATTTGTATCTTCGATTTTAGAAACAGCCATTTAGTTCTAAACGAATCGTTCAAAAAGTCTAACGAAATAAGAATAACGATGACGTCATTCTCATTTAATTCGTTTGACTTTACGAACGTACCCTTAATCCTTTTCACGCACCATAGAAGTACACCTTTTACATTGGTTTGAAGAAATCACTTCATAAAACAATTAACAATAGGTAAATATTACATTATTAAAAATGATCAGACGTCAACCTTTCATTTTAGGTTCTGACGCCTATAACATTAAAAATCAAAGTAAATCTTCTCACCCAACTGTCAAGTTTTTACACTTTGTACCAGGTTCAAGCCCTCTAGTGGTGGATACGAGTTATCTTTAATTTGCATGTAGTTTCAAATCTGATCATTTTTAATAATGTAATATTTACCTATTGTTAATTGTTTTATGAAGTGATTTCTTCAAACCAATGTAAAAGGTGTACTTCTATGGTGCATGAAAAGGATTAATTGATAGACTCAAAAATTAAATTAATTTTTTGTAAATAGTCTGAACTTCTAATTTATAATTTGGAAGAAAAATATCCTGAGTTCATCATGGATTTAGTTAATTCTACTGTATTTAGAATTTTTATTAGAGTTAAAGGTTTCACTCATTCTGAATACTCTACAATTAACATATCAATAACAATAAGTGAAACTCTTTTAGAAAGTAATATTATCTTTAGTTAGTTTGTTTGCAGCTTTGTTTAAAATATCAAGAATCAAGCATGCTAAATAATCAATAAAATAAAACTAAGAAATGTAAAATACTTATAAATTAAATTGTTTATAAAAATGCAATGTGATTATATATATTGATTAAATATCTTTAAACATATTAATTTGATTTTATTGTTTAAAATGTGCTGTTTTGTATTAATGCTTTGTATAATTTAATGTTATATATATAAACAGTAATATTTCCTTAACTCTTATTTTATTATTATGAAATAAGCATTTTTGTTTTTCTAGGATGTAGAAATGGAGATATTAACAATTATCTTGAACTTAATAAAGAAAGTAGAGAAACCAATAATATTTATACGGTAAGTGATATAAAAATTTAAAATTCTTTTAAACAAAGTAATTAAATAATAGATATTTAACTATTTCACTATATTTCATGGACACGTTAGGCTTGTTCTTTTAAAATATTTTCTGTACAGTACTTGTAAATATTGAACATTAAGAATGGAGCAGATGAAAGCAATATAAATTCTACCATTTCAATAAATTTACTGGAAAAAGAAACAAATAACATTGAAATATGACAATGAATGGAATCCACTTGAAGATTGTTTAATTTTAAAAAATATATTAGAAGTGTTTTATATATTAGAATTAATTTTTATATATTAGAAGTGCTTTCAGATTATCAAATATGTACAATCAACTTGCATTAATATGAATCTCTAGGAAAATAATAGTTAGTTTGCTTTATCAAAAATCCATAATGACAATCTTCAGGGTCAAGATGAAGATTGTATAATTTATGGAGTTATGGCTGAGTAGGCAATTAAAATCTCTAAATTATAATATTTTGAATTAATATTCTAAATAATTTTCAAATCGAACAAAATGAGGAGAAGATAGTATTCTCTGTTTAAGTGTGGTGCAGTATAGTGGTTAAACAAAACAAAGTGAAAAGAAATTGTGATTTTTTTTTTCTGTTGAAGATTGTTTGAGAAAGTAGAAAATATTTTTTGACATCAAAAGAGTAAAAAAAAGGAACCAAATTTGGCACAAGGTGGCCAAACCTGGCATCACTGGCAAACTTTAACCCCTATTTTCTGAGTACAGCAAAATGGCCCGCTTAAAACAGATGTTTGAATTGGCTATACAGTTGGAGGTTGAACCTATCTTTGCTTACTAGAAGAAAATCAACTCTAATCAAAATGGAACATTTATTCCAATATCACTTTTAATTATTGATGTCAAAAACTAAAAAGCAACCATTATTGGAAATAGGGTTATTTCTTGGGGTTTATGAAGGTAATTACAGTTCAGTTAATAAATTCTGGTAAAATTTTTGTTCACTTTATGGTATGAAAATTAATGTGACAATGGTGTTTTGACAGGGTAACAGCAAAATTTGCTTTATTGGTGTTTGTTTTAATGTGAATCAACTGTATTGTATTGATGAATTCACTTCTGTGTGGAGTTGTTATAAACCATCAGAGCATATTTTTGATCATATCAGTTATCATCATTCTCTTCAGTTTGATAAAGTCATAAAATTAACAATAAGTCAATTTATTTTTACAGAAATTAAGTAAAAATACAATAAATTATATTCTGCATTATACCAGAAGTAGAGCATTAGTTTGTCTATAAATCATTTTGCCACTTGCTGCCAGAGGGTTAGCTTTAGGAACAAATTTATCCAACTTAAAAATGTCTGCTTCAAAATTTTTGTTGTTGTTGTTGTTGAAAAGTTCTATTTTGTGTAATTAAGCAATATTAAAGATGCTGTAATTAATTAGAAAACATCAAATTAAAATATGTTTTTTTATTAAAGGTTACTGGCACCATTATTTTCATCAGTTGATCATCAGAGGTCAAGAATTTTATTATGCAGCATTGTAAATGCTATTGCTGAAAGTGAGAATGCCATTAAAAATTTAGCTGTTATAATAGAAAAGGTAAATTTTTATATATAAGTATAAAAACAACATTAAATAAATAATTTACATAATATTAGATTCTAAGTAATTTTTAATGAAGAAATATAAGAAATTTGTTTATTATACTTGAAATGGGTTTATAATTTTTCTATTTCAGATCAATGCATGGAATTTGAAACAAATTGACGAACCAGATTATGATGCACGATTGCAAGGTTATAAAATGTTGACAACAATTATTTTAAATGCAGATAAACAAAATATTGATGATTTAAAAATGATCATTTATAACTGTGTATATTTTGTGAAAACTGTTAGTACATCTTTTACTACTTTCAATCAAAATGCATGTTTGAAAGATATGTACTGATTTACATTTTTGCTTCTTTTAGAGTGGTGATTTGTCCATAAGAGATAATGCATCTTACATTCTTCAAATATTATCTAAATTGTTGGTGGAGAAAAAAGATACAAATAAAGAATTATTTTGTAGTATAGTTAAACAAATTCTAATATTACAAATTCGAAATGGTTTAAAGCACAAATCAGAAGTAAGTTTAAAATAGTTAATTTTATTTTGTTGTTTAAAGTAATTAAAAATTATGATATTTTTTTCATAGAAATTAAGAGTATTGAATAGTTATATACAGTACATCAGCAGGTTTTTGGTTTCTAAAGCACTGACTATAACTTTATTAAGTAAGACAACGATAAATAAATAAATATGACTGGAATCTGCCATTTAATAACCAAAAAATTAATGTGATATTAGAAAACAATTTCACTCTGAAGCCATTTGTTTTAAAACAAAATTTTCATTTTTAAATGCTTTTCTCTATCTTGCTTTGTGTGATGTCCTCAAATCTTGCAACTCAAATTTCATCCACTTCTAATTTAGGTATGTCCTCAAAGTTTCAATCTTCTAAGTATAATGACAATGCATTTTAATGAGTTTTAGTGGGTAACCCATCCTCACCATCTTTTTTAATAGTGAGCTATTAAATTTAATAAACATAACCAATTATAGAATTTAATTGTGATGTGTGTGTATAAATGCACTGATGTATATGGTGCGGGTGGCCCCATTCCTACCATTCTATAATATCAAAAAACATGACCAATAAGACTTTTTTTTAATGTTTTAAAAATTGTATTAAAATTATTTTATTCATTTTAAAGATTACATCTTTATAATAATAGTATAGATAAAGGATTCATGTTTGTAAGTTTGTATGTAAGGGGTAATCTCCAAAACTACTCATCCGATTTCAAAAATTCTTTCACCAATATTTAGAATGGAATTTCAGGGTGGACACAGGCTGTATATTATTCCGTTAAACATTCATATAAATTAAAAGATATCATCTAGGATTAAGGCTTTTATGTCCAACAGATGGCGCTATGAGTACGACGACCTAAGTTTGCTTTTCTGTGAGGATGAACTAAAGCAGATCATCTTCTATCTATCTATATAAATAAAAATGTAATGTTCGTTTGTTCCTACCGATTCCTTTGAAATTTTGACACAATGCTGCATTCAAATACGCACATGTTTTTATATAATATACATGTCAAAATTCCCCCCACTGGGGGGAGATGGATGGACAGGATTAAGGCTTACCGTAAAGAACTCTGCTTCTATTTATACTATTTTAGATGTGGTTTTTTGCATTTTTGATTGCGTTTTAAAAGGGTACGTGAACAGAATATACACTAAAAAGGGATTTTTCGATATTCCCCTCCCCCGCGGGGGAGAGGACAGGATTAAGGCTTACTGTGAAGAACTTGGCTTCTATTATACTATTTTAGGTGCGGTTTTTTGTGTTTTTGATTGTGTTTTAATAGGGTACGTCAAGAGAATGTACACTAAGAGGGATTTTTTGAAAAATTCCCCCCACGGGGTAAGTATTATACATTTATAATAGATACATTTTGAGCCACAACAATGCGTGGCAGAGTCTGCTAGTTTCTTATAAAGTGGAAATAAGAGTTAGAATTCTGTAAAATATCCTGATTGTTAAGAGAAGTGTTTTATACTAAATTATTTCAAAATAATAGCCGATTCAAATGTTTATAGGCATTTCCTAATTTATTGAGAAATTGATTTATTATAATCATATCTACAACAATATTCAATTTAAATATGTAGTTTTAATGTTTAACTTTAATTGAAGCTTTTGTTATATAGAAATTAGTCCTCACTTGCTTCATAGCATTACCTTTATAAATATGTACATAAATAAATAAATAAATACTTATTGTGTATCATATTTGTATCAGGTTTTATTTCCTTGTCTCATGAATATTATGTTATATTCTTATTTGGGATATAACAAATGAACTTCTTTCCTTTTTGTTCTTAACTTCAATTTACTTACTACAGTTGGAGAATCAAGGTATGTAGTAGGTTAGTATTACAGTTTAAGAAATGAAGGGAAAACACAGTTGTTTACAACATACAAGAGTTGCATAGTCTATAAACATCTGGACTTTTTGGAATCATCTTCTGTTTTCTGCTAATGTCAAGATTTTAATTGAAAAACTTTAAGTAAATATACAAACTGCTACATTAAATGTTTCTGTTGGTTTTTCCGTCCGATGGCGAGATTATTTTTATTAATCATCGAAGACAAGTCTGTCCTAAAAGGGACCACCATTTATTTTGTATTCCAGACTTTACACATACACATCTATGGCAACAGGCCTTCCTTTTTAGGCTTCATGCCACCAGAGGTAAAAAAAAGTCGTTTTAAAAACACAAACATCCAATTAAAAGGAATCGGTGATACACAGAAGTCTTACTTTTCATCCATCTGGCCAATGGGGTGGTACTGCTTTATATCTACTAAAAGGAGCTCTGGAATATGTAGATTTTTTGAAGCTACCTCCTGGCAATGGTACATTTAAAATTTCTTTTTGTTGATTTTTCCGTCCGATGGCGGGATTATTTTTATTAATCATCGGAGACAAGTCTGTCTAAAAAGGGACCACCATTTATTTTGTATTCCAGACTTTACACATACACATAAGATGATTAATAATTAAATGTTTCTATTAACTATAAAATGAATAGCATAGAAAGATAATTTTAGTATTAATATTTTTTATTTCTGTTGATGAAAATGATTGCTGTATTGGTCATATACACATACATTTTTTTTTTCTTATATTATTTTATACAGAATAATCAAAGCAACAAGTTTGCTTTTATATCAGAATCATAAGATAAAAAAAATAAAAGCCATAGAACACATTTTTCTAGAATAATCTTTTCATTATTAAAATAAAATAGCTGTTTAATATAATGCATATGGTAACTAGTCTCTCTTATTATTCAGAAATTTATAATAGAAAAAATTTTTTAAAAATATCTTTACTCTAAGAAAAATATTAATACTGTCTATTGACATTATTATTTTTTACTGGAAACATTACTATAAGAACTTTCGACAAATTGTCACCTTACTTCAACGGTGCTCAGATTGCAGGGTTGTTTTCATAAGGGAGTCACTTTACATAACAATGCTTAATTTGTGTAACAAATCTTTGCTTGACCTTCTGGCAATATGGTGCACATTATTATTATTGTTGTTGTTGTTGATTTTTTAATGTATTGATGCATCCTATGGAATATGTTTTAAATTAAACTGTTTAAATTAAATTGAATCTTACAATTTAAATTACACATTAAAGTATATTTTAAATTGTAAGGTTCCATTAATATTCCATTATTCTATGCCTGAAGAAGACAAACTGTAATTTGTGAAAAATAATAATGTTGATAGACAGTATTAATATTTTCATAAAGTTTTTGGCATTGCATGAAGCAATTTTGAGCATTTTAACTCTCTGAATCCCTTGCAATTACCATTTACACACTCAATTTGAGGACAGGTGTTAATGTACTCATAAAAAAAATTATTTATCATTTTTTGTACTTTGTTATAATTTCAATTTATATGGATTTATTTATCATTTTTGATAACTTTGTGTAACAAAACAATTTCTGATTTTTTCCCNATTTATTGAGAAATTGATTTATTATAATCATATCTACAACAATATTCAATTTAAATATGTAGTTTTAATGTTTAACTTTAATTGAAGCTTTTGTTATATAGAAATTAGTCCTCACTTGCTTCATAGCATTACCTTTATAAATATGTACATAAATAAATAATTTTTAATAAAGAAAAATAATTAATTAAAAAGTTAGAGAAGTAATAGCATATGTGCATAGTAAGTCAAATGCTTTTTATTTTGTTAATGTGCCATATCATAAGGGATGTGAGGGTCAGGAAAAGTTATGGAATTTAAAACAAAAATTTGAGTAGGTACCCTGCACATGATGTATAAAACCAAATACACCAAAAATAGTGAAAAAAGCACTGAAAACATATGAGCATAAAGAGTGGGTGTTGGGCAACTTGGGCTCACAACAAATTGCATTTATGTTTTGAGTGAATTCTTTCAATGTGCACACAGTTTGAACTTTGAAGCATCATTCAAACTCTTAACCAAATTTTTGTTAAAGTTAGTCATTCAAAGTATGAGGTACAGTACCACTGTACTTATTTTATAATTAAAATTTTTTACCAAAATTTTAAATTTAATTATAAAATATTGTAATTTAAAATTTTGAATACTAGATTATATTCATTTTATCTTTCTTCTTCTAGATTGTTCGACATGAATTTATTAAAATTTTGACAAATCTTCTTTGTGATCAACATAAATTCCTGTCATTAAAAGAATTGTCTCAATTATGTAATGAAGACAAAGAAGTGGACTTCTGGGAAAATATTAGGCATATTCAGGTAAAACTTGAAAAAATTGTTTGTGTTTTGTGTTATATAAAATTTTCATTATAAATAAAAATTTCATATTTATTTCATTTTATTATTATTATGTTAAGATTCATAGAAGAACAAGGGCAATTACACGTTTAATTCATAGTTTGAAGATAAAAGAATATAAATTTCATTCTGCTACATTGTGTCATTTTATTATTCCTATTGCTTCTTCATTTTTATATGATGCATCATATATTAAACATAATCACCTCATTGATGCTTCAGTGGAACTTATTGGCATTGCAAGCAGTCATCTTCCTTGGCACAGATATATAAAGATATTCCAATATTATTTAGGAATTTTGTTGCACAAACCTGACTTCCATAAAGTCTCAGTCAAGTAAGTTTTAATGTTTTAAGTTATTTTTAATAACAACCCTAAAGAACCTTTACTTCCGGTTGTCATTAGTATCGATAATTAAGTTAGAAGTTATCTTTATTTTTAATTTAAAAAATACAGCAAACCTCACTTATATGGCCACTTTTTGGGTATACACTTTCTGGCTGCATAAATAAGATGGTTACCCAAGTGGAATTGAGACAAATTGACATACAGAACTTTAATTAGAGTATTGTACTGAATCCTGTTAAAAGTTTAATATAGATTATAAAAGTAATTAATTAATAATAATAATAATAATAATAAATTTAAATAATACTATACATCCTTTGCAAAATGCAATAATTCATATTTTTATATAGGATAATTTATTAACACTTAATACTAAAGTATTAAAATACAGAGTATTGTACAGTTTTTGTCCAAGAATACTAAACAATGCTGTTTAGTATCTTTAGACAAAATCAATATGTTCATGAAATGGTAGTAAAGGTTTTATTTAAATACTGTATTTTAACAGGGGAATTCAAAAAACAGATTTATTAAACAGAAATCATTGATATGTAAAATTGTTCAAGTGTCAAAATGTGTTAATAAAAACTGGCTTTTACATCATTCTCATTGATATTTTTCTTCATTTAATGTTCAGCACTGATTTACACAATTATATTTTTACAAAATGCAAATCAGATTTTGTATAAAAGTATTGAACAAATATATAATTGTCTTTCTTCTTACTAAATTCTAGAGATAAATTTAACTTGTATTTCATTTCATTTTTGAACAGGTTTGTTTGCAATGATATACAAGCTAAAATAGAAAATATCTCTCATCCAAATTTCTTAAGACTTAAAATTCTCTTCTAGCAGAGATTTGTAAAAATTTAAAAAACTCCATACTTCAAATGGATTTTTAAAAAGTCATTTGCTGGAAGATCTAATTCCAGTTGATTTTTCTAAAGTTTTTTTGTTTTGAACTAGTTCAAATCAAGTGTTATTTATAAAATATATCAGTGAAAATAAGCTATGTGGGTTAGATAAATATGAGGTAGCCACATTTAGCTTATGCTGTTGATCCCTGCATTATACTATTGAGTTGTTGTCTTAAGACAATTATGTATATATGTTACTGTGAATGACTGATATCTGGTGAACGTCGAGATCCTCCAGTGAATGTCAGCATTCACACAGTCGTTTCGTGTATGTACGAAATATTTGCTAAATATCATTATTTCTCACTTACACTGACAAATGTCGACATTCATCATGCACTGATGGTGATTGTTGAATTAAAATATTTTTATTATGTTAAGACAAAAATACAACTTTTTAATATGTCAAAATAGGAGAAAGCTTAAGTAACAGCACATGTAAATAAACTATTGAACCTAAAATGAACAGTACATTCTTAATCAGAAAACAAAAATAATACACAATAGTAAACTTATATATTATGTGATTGTATAACATTAATCTTATTTATTGCAACAACTTAAACTGTTAAACTTTTAAATTTCACAAGATTCCCTTGCTTTTACAACTGCATTTATTCGTGGAACACTTCTTTTTACAATGACAGCGTGTATAGCCTTGCCCTCCACTTTTTGAATTAGCTGCAGCTGCTTCTCTCAGCCATATTTCTTGAGAAGAAATCTCATCTATGGAAAGTAACTTTTCTTTACAAATTACGAACTGATTATGGGTATAAAGCTGCTTGAGGGTACCATTTTTGTTTGCTAATTTATAAAAGTTAAGAGTCTTCTATTCCAACAACAACCACCAACACATTTCGGGCATCTGTACAGCCACGATCGACATCAGAGACTTGTATTCATACGGTATCACCAATTTGAGCAGAAGGAAACAGCAAAGAATTTGGTGACAGACTGTCGCCTCTCTGTCAACATTGGCTTCTTGGGTGTCGTTTCAACTTCAACCAAAGCTTATCTGTGCTTGTCAACATACACCTGTGATTGTTTGAATGTATAATAATATAACCAAATATTAGGTTTTTCACTGACATATTTTGTGTGTCAACATTCTCTAATTTCGGTCTTTCACAATAACATATATATACGTTATGGACTATGTCATTGATCATAATGTCCATATTAATCACTAACAAAATCAGGCACTGTATTAAATTTTAGGTGTTTTATTATAATTTATCAGATTGACCAGTCACTATAAATACTACTATCACTTGGATGGACAAAATGATGATAATACCTTGAGAAGTGATCATCCAACATATGCTAGCCAGTCAGTACTCACATTTGACTTGCATTTAGTATCAAATTTTAAATTCATACAATCAGTAGTTAATCTTGTGCAACATTTTAATTTTATTTTTGCCTCTTAAAATAGTATTTTCTTCTTTGAAAAAGTAATGACCATGGAGCAATCATTAAGTGATATGAATAACTGTTTCAACAACTGATTAAATGAGTTAATAGCAGCTAAAGGTCAAAACAGTCAAATTTTTACAAAATCAGAATATTTGATAATGATACAAGAACTGAGAGAATCAAAAATCAGATTTCAAAGTTACCAGAAGAACATCAGCATTTACATAGGTATGATGCTGGTATCTATCATAGAAATAGAAAAATTAATTGTGCCTGTAAAAGAAGGTAATTTGAGTAAATATTATGTTCACACTGAAGAAAATATTGCAGATATTACATGATGACCATATTACTATTGACAGAAACTGTATGGGAAAAGAATTAAGTACAAAATATAAAAATATTACAAGGGATACGAGATATGATCATAATTCACTTGAACTTATGTGAAATCTGTTAGAAAAAATAATGTTTCTAAGAAAGGCTTGGTAGTTAAACCAATTTTAAGTAATGAAATGAACTCAAGATGTCAAGTTGACCTTATAGATATGCAGTTGCAATCTGCCATATAAATTCATATTCATGTACCAAGACCACTTGACTAAATTCATTGAATTACAATGTTAAAAACGAAAAGAGCTGAAGATATAGCCTATGTTCTTTTGGACATTTTTACAATTTTCGGTGCACTAAGTATTCTACAAAGCCATATAACGACAGAGTATTTGTCAATAATGTCATCAAAGAACTGTGTAATATGTGGCCTGAGTTAAAACTGGTGCATGGAAAGCACAAGTACTTGCAAAATCAGGGTTCAACGGAAAGATGTAATCAAGACACAGAAAATATGTTTAGTTCTTGATTGGAGACTAATAACATTAACAAATGATTGGAAGGATTACGTTTTGTACAACTGATGAAAAATCAAGCTCATCATACTGGTATAAACCATCATCTATGAGGTCATGTTTGAAGCAAAGTTAAAAGTTGGACTAAAGGATTTTATATCTGACATATCATTGACCATCATTAAATACAGAGGATGATTTAGAGAGACTTTTTAAAACTAAAACTAACAACAATGAATTTTTTATATAAATTATACCAAAAATGGCATTTCAGAAGTTTTCTTTTAAGTTGATTTTTTGATTGAAGTATAAATTTGTTAATAATACTTTTTGTTAACATTAGTTTAATTAATACAGTTAATAATACTTTTAAAAGATCTCGTGTTGTTGTTTTTAAAATACTCGCAAAAACTCCACTTTTTTCATTAAGAATTATTTGAGTTTGGTCAATTTGATTTTTGAAAACAAAGGGAATGTAGCTGTATTCATAATGTCTGGTCAATTTAATAAATTAGTCAATATTTGTCAGGCTGCATGGCCATTTTAGTCATTATTCATAATAGCTGGGCATTATGAATAATGCCCTATTAATTACTTTTTTCATAGTGCATATATACTGTATATAAATCTTGAAAAAGAAAATTTTGCAAAGTAAATAAAATCTTACTTTTAAAAGATTTTTTTTTTATTCTTCAGTCATTGTGAATTGTTTGTAAAAAGTTTTAGTTAAAACAATAATTTGATGAACAGTTTAGCATTTTTTATTTATTTTAAGTAACAGAATATTCAAGGCTTCGGTATTTATAATTTGTTAGCAAGCTTGTACATAATGAAAAGTTTCATTTCTTCAAGGCGAGAGAAAAAGAAATTTCAACAAAAATAAATATTTATTTCATCTTATTATTTTTTTTTAGATTGATAGTTTCTATTTTGAATGGATTTCATTTTGATTTGTCAAAATCTAAAGGATTATCTTTAATTGATCAAAACAAAAACATCAGAATGAATACTGGTAAGAAAATGTTTTATTTATTTATTTTTTTTATATAACTGAAATATACTCACAGTGTACTGTCTTCCACGTTCATTTTGTTTCTGATGAAAACTTGGAATAAATGCATATATCATTACTAAATAGTCATCACAATTCCTACAAATATCCTGTAACTAGTAGTTTCAGATCAAACTTCAATGGGAGAGTTTAATTAAATAAAAATAAAAATGATTTTGTAAATGAAAAGTAATCTCATCAACCAAGGCCATCACTAAAGCATGACTTTATGTATAAGCTCAGTGTTGCCAAGTTAAAATTTGAAATTTTTTTTCAATTAATTTATGTTATAATTAAACGTAAAGTTAGTTAATAAATATTTGTGATATATTTAAAATAACTTTTAATCCTATCAAAATAAGTATATGTTTTAATTAGTACGAAAATCAATTTACTTGTCTAAAGATTTGCAGAATTCTCTTCCATTTCAATTGTATGTACCAGTGCTGTGCGATGTCTATAATTTTAACATCGATGTCAAACATCGATGTTTGCCTAAGCATCGATGCTAAATTTCGATGTCGGATTACACATCGATGTTTGATCGATGCCCATTGGAACATCGATGTTCAATCAAGATAAATTCAAACAATTTAAAAAAAAACAAAAC